GATAGAGACACTTGATTTGCTTTCTTCATTTACTTTAAGTATTCCAGAAAATAGCTTAGCAGCAAAGATGAGACATATAATTATTATAATTATATACTTTTGTAGTTTTGTTTTATTATCATCAAAACACAATATTCTAACTTATGATTTATCTTTTTTTTTTAGGTTCAAGTGCAATCATACCCCGTGCTCCTAAAGTACGCTCTCATATTTGGGAACATTTTGAGGTGAAAGAAGATAACGGAGAAGTTCGCAAAGTAGAGTGCAAGTATTTTGGTCGAGTCTATAATGTTCATATAAAGAGGGATGACACATATAGTTTAAGAAATCATATTAAAGTGGACGTTCACTATAAAACCTATTGAAGGATGGCTTCATTCAACTTCAAGAAGGAATGACTTCTATAGCGTTAGAAAAGTAAATTGACGTGAGAGGACTTAGATTTTTTTTTTTTGACTTAGATATAAGTTGCTAATATTCTTTGCTGAAGTGAAAGTTTCATCCTTCAATAGTTCAGGTGTTTCCTCCGTTTTTCAATGCCAAAGTAGATGTCTCTATTTTTTCTGCCATATCTCACTTTGAGATTACGAGTAATTATTAAGATGAAAGGATTTTAACTTATACTTGGTGAAATACTTAATGAATTGTGAATTCACTGAAGAATTGTGAATTCACTGAATAAGTGAATTCAATGAATTGTGCACGGAGAGGGCTGTCGGGCGTCATAAGTTTATTTAGCGATTATTAAACCGAAACCGTACAGAACCAAAATAAAAAATACCGAACCATACCGAAATAATTTGGTACGGTATTTGGTATACACAATTGATAAATCGAATACCGAAATACCGAACCGAAATACCGAATGCCCACCCCTAGATCTCGCCCTCTTCACTCGAAGATCTAACGATTTTGCACGAACGAAGAGCTTCTACGTCTGCTGTGAAAGAACCGCCCCCAACAGTCAAAAAGCTGCTGGAGGAATGGTTGACGAGCACCCTTAGCAACATGCTCGAGAAACCCCCTCAAGGAAATGTCGAAGATTCACCATCGGCAGATACCACTGCTGATATCGATGAGCCGAGCGCTGCACGAACGAATAACAACCACGCCATCTCCAACGCAAGCGATGGTGCACTCGCAACCATCTTTAAGAGAATGGAAGAAATGGAGAACGAGAACAAGGCGCTTCGTGACCAAATGAAGGAGCACTAGGAAAGAGTTGACAAAATACCCGGCGCTCCTAAGCTACTGCCAAAACGCGATGTGGGAAGGTTCGTCGAACAATCGTACAGTGAGGAAGCTGCTTCTCACTCAATACCAAAAACCTTCAAAATGCCACCATACTTGAAAATATACGACGGGACAACAGATCCAGAAGACCATCTGATCCACTATGTCACCGCCGTAAAAGGCAATGACTTGTCAAAAGAACAAGTGCCATCCGTGTGATGAAGAAGTTTGGCGAAACTTTGACAGGAGGGGCACTAATGTGGTACTCTCAACTACCAGCTCGGTCGATCTCAACGTTCGAAGAAATGGCAGATAAATTCGCCACCGCTCATGCAGAAGCAAAGAAGGCCGAAGCTAGGGTCAATGATATCTTCGCCATCAGCCGCAGCTTTTCAAAATGGGTTGAACAGGAACGGATCAAGAGCGACCAAGAAGCTACTCAGCAGACTCATGAAATATCCCCCCCCCCCCACACACACACACACACCACGTGGGAGGAGATTCACAACGCCTACTGCGCTGAAGTAAGAGCAGACGAAGATGACCTCAACGATGTTAGTACAACCCGGGGTAAGGAAGGATCGACGCATCGACGGGCGAAGGGAACCGCCTCCACGCTTCAATAGAGAGAGGAATCAGCCCTATGTTAGAGCCCTCAATCCGCCTCCTCCGAGGCATCCTGATGCCGTGTCACGACACGTTGCACCGCTCCAAAACGAAAGAGGTATGCCCCCATTATTATCTGCTCATAACTTTTATGTTTCCCCTTCAGAAATAGTGTACGCACTAGAGAAGCTAGGCACGAAGGTGCAGTGGCCACAAAAAATAAAATCAGATCCAAGTGCACGGAGGTCGAACGTCCTATGCGAATTCCATCAGGAAAGAGGACACAAGACCGAAGATTGCATAGGTCTACGACAGGAGGTGCTCAGAATGTTAAACCAGGGATACCTGAAAGAACTACTCAGCGACAAAGGAAAGGCTAATTTCGCCAGAGGGCGCGACCCGTCCCAAGGACCGGCAAAACCACCTTCTCCGGCACGCACCATACGGATGATCATCGGCGGCGGCGACTCGGCGATCAATCATGTAAAGTTCACCACCACACACAAGTTGAAGCGAACAATCGCTCACGAACGGTATGACACCTCGAAGACGGTATCACCTTTGATAAGTCTGATACCGATGGTTTGTCTGTCCCTCATTACAACGCTTTAGTTATAACTTTACGCATTGCTGATAATGATGTGTAAAGAATTATGGTAGATGATGGAAGCGGTGCGTGTATTATCCATCCGAGAGTTCTCACGCAGATGAGGCTCGAAGATAAAATAATATCTCGTTGCATAACACTAACGGGTTTTAACAATGCAGTGGAGAGAACCTCCGAAGAAATATCACTACCAGTCTTGGCAGGAGGAATCACGCTGGAAACCACATTCCACGTTATGAACTAGGAAACGGCTTACAACGCCATCATAGGGCGTCCATGGATACATGCCATGCGAGCTGTTCCCTCAAGCTTCTACCAAGTAGTCAAATTTCCCACACCATGGGGGATATTCAACATTCGAGGTGAGCCCCGCACCGCCCAAGAATGCTACCGGATTTCCCAAGACTGCACGCACACCAAACAGTTAAAAGGAGCGAGCGCGGAAGCATAGCAATCAGCCATGTCAGGAACTAAAATCAGCCCTCCGCCAAACGTCATTAGGGACCCAGACGTTGTAGAAGCCTGCAAAGCAACGGTCGAAAACCTCGACCCGGTCTAGCTGGATAGTATTGACAACACCAAGAAGGCCTATATCGGCCACAACCTCTCCGATCCAAGTAAGTACAACGAATTCTTAACTAACCATGTAGATCTATTCGCCTTTTCCCACTCAGATATGCCGAGATTCTGAAAGACATCGCCACTCAAAAACTGAATGTCGACCCACGCTATCCTCCGGTGCGACAAATGAGGAGGAAATTCAACGCCGCAGTCAACGACGCAGTTAGTGAAGAAGTAGAAAAGTTGTTAGCCAATGGTTCCATCAGAGAATCGAAATACTCCCAGTGGGTCGCCAATGTCGTCATGTTTAAAAAGAAAAACGGAAAATGGAGATTTGCGTGGATTTCACCGATCTAAACAAGGCATGCCCCAAAGACTCCTTCCCGTTGCCCCATATTGACCAGCTGATCGATGCAACGGCGGGGCACAAACTGCTGAGTTTCTTGGATGCCTACTCCGGCTACAACCAAATCCTAATGGCCGAAGAGTGTCACACCTCCTTTTTACCTGCGCCCGCAGGGGCGTAAAGGGAGTTTTTCCAATTTAAGGACAATCGAAACGGGATTTATTTATTTAATTCAGAGTAGACACTTGGGAGATTTATGGTGTCCCAAGTCACCGGTTGAATCCCGAACCGAGGAAAATATTGACTCTGTATTACAGTCCGCGAACCAGAAATCTGAGTAAGGAATTCTGTTAACCCGGGAGAAGGTGTTAGGCATTCCTGAGTTCCGTGGTTCTAGCACGGTCGCTCAACTGTTATATTTAGCTTTATTTATCTGATTTTAATACATTTTGAACCTATATGCAAATTTTAACTTTTAGCCGCTTTTATTATTACTATTTTAAAAGAGAATTGCAACGTCGTGAAAACACGTCTCGAATCACGTCACATAAACGCACCCGTGGTTGTTGACACATTTCGACTTCGTTGGGATTTGAATTTGAGTCACATAAATGTGCACTCGAGTTTAGGAAGGTAATGTTATTAAAATACGCGCCTAAAGAGACTAATGCGTTATTATTTTTGGGGAAGGCCGTGAAATTCACAAAACGGCCCATCCCCAAAATCTGAGTATTTTAATACAACCATTTATTGAGGGCCCCGCAATTTGTGCATTTTATTTGGCGAGACTCGTCTCATTTATTATTTAAAGGCCAACCTAAAGTAAATTACGATTTTCTATTTGATTTTTGTCTCTAATAGTAAACAAAAAAAAACCTAGTTAATTAATCATTATTTAAGGATTACTACATTTACATTCTGAGCCTTTCATTAGAAGCACATTTTTTTTTAAAAGCAAAGTATGTGGACCATCCAATTAACGAAGATACTAGAACAAAAATGCAAAGCACTGCGATTTAATGAAGCTGCCCAAAATGAAATTCATACCAAACATGGAACCATTTAATCAACTATTTGTACACAATTACAAATTCAACAAAACATGAACATGAAACCAAGATTATCATTTAATTGAAGAGAATAAACTAACTAATCCAAGAAAGAAAATTAACAAAATGATTCATTAACATGAGGACTAGTACCTCTGAGGGCAGCGACGGACGGAAATGGTGGTGAGGTTGCTGCTGCTGGTGGCAGCTGTGGGGGGGGGGAGGGGGGTTGGTTTAGGGTTTTGTTTGTGTAGACACTCCGGCGTTAGAGCCGTATCATATACTTTTTGTAGCTTGTGTTGCCCGTGAGATTCCGGGTTTTGGGATTTTTGTTTCAGAATTTGAT